ATTAGCTGGTTTAAAGGGTAGATTGCCCCTGACGACGTTTAAAGTTGATTTTGAGAGCAAGAGGAGGTATGCTCACCTATTTATCAGTGGTAAAACTATTCGTCTGTAGCCGGATACAACACTAGATATCACTTTAATTTTTCGAAACATGGCCCACACTCGGGTTCCCACAGATCTAGTCAACTGAACATATTGCTGGAAGTGTTAACGAAAATGTGTTAGGACCCATTGGGAAGATTAGTTGCCATGTTTGGTTCAGCGATCATAAATTCAATGATTTCTGTTACCCAACAAATCTTCATGATTTGGACCTACTTCTTCTGGATAAGATAGTTATGCTAGATATTTTAACTGTGCCATTGAATTCAGCATGCTCTCATGTAATGTCATCATCTCATGATATTTATTCATCGAAGATGCCTAATAAATCTCCGCTGGAATGTCTACTTCAGAAGCGAGCCGGGCTCGCTCAGTTCTAGCTTCAAAATCACTTCGACTAAGAAGAAGACCAAAGCACTTCCAAGTGGTCCATGAAAAGAAGTAACACGCTCTTTACGGGTGTACGTGTGTGTTAGAAAGTGTTCAAAAATGGAAGTTGTCAGTTAAGGGCACTAGTCGTTAGGATAGAAATATTTTTTTTTCATATATTGCCTGGTCAAATTAATTTCATCGAGCAGTTTTGTCCCTCAGCTGATTGGTAATCCAGTGGCCCCACTTTCTGAGTAGAAGCCGTATATAAATACTAAGAACTAGTGAGGGCATCCTTAAAACTGTAACCCCCAAGAATGTCTTTCGTAATAGCGACTGTAACTAGGAGGTTGACCTTATGGGTGAAGCGATTCGCCAAGCGCCCCTTGGAATCAAAAGTAAAGGCATAGGGTAGATGGAAAATCTTCAAAAAGCAGCATATATGGCTAAAACAATCGGAGGAGCACGAAGAGGGACAGGAAATTGTTCAAAGTAGAAGGACCTATGACCATGAGTGTCTTCGTAGCATTATGTGCGTGTTTCGGAATCAGTGTGTGAGCAATGTTGAGGTCGGGTGAAGAGTACTAGGCAATAAAGACGGTCAGTTGATGAGGTTGTCAACATCCACTGACTGAGATGATTTCGACGTGTTGTGTATGCCATGCCACTGCTCACCTTGACGTACAATGTTAACGGAATCGGGATTGGTTTTAAATTATCTGAATGATCCATATCGTGGATACGGAATTCTGTGCCAAGGACGTTGTGATAAGACGACGAGGCGAAATGGCCATATATGTCACATCGGACTCTAATGCAAGGGTGCTGATTAGTGTGGCTGCTTCCTCGTGAAACAAAAACCTGCAGAGGCAGGTATATGCTTGTGCATGGGGAAATGGTTTTCCACGCAATCCTGGCAATAGCTGTTACAGATAGTGAATCCACAAACATCTCTCGTGGCCTGTATACTATGTCTATTCATCTAGTGTCAGAATGAGGTAGTATTACCAGGTGCTTCTGTCGGAAGCTGACAAATGTGGTTAAGATGGCCAGTCTCGTTGGAAAGGCGAGTAATATTCTGAGTTGGTGGTTCAGTGGGATCACAACACCTTTAGTGTACGCCCTGACAAATGATGATTTTCTTAGCTGGAACGCATGTGTCCAGTTGCCCCTTGGTCGCAGTTATCATAGAGCACTAGCCTCCTGTAAGTCAGCTAAGGATAATATACAACTGGAAAAACTCGAAAACTTTCTTTGGAGCAACAAGGCTAACTATGAAATATTATTTCACGTTTGCATAATGGCCTGAAGACTGGAAACCTACGATAGACGGACGCCGAACTCCATCAAAGAAAATACCTTTTGGGGACACCGGTGGAAGAACTTCGAGGTTAAGACGCCAACCATTAAAGAGAGCCTCAAGACTTGAGCGCGAACGAGAAAGTTCACTCCAGACCAAACAACTGCACCTGGTCCACCTGGAGGTCATCGAACAACACGTCATATTCCTCAGCTTATGGAAATAATTGGGAATCATTGCAATATATTAGCTTGCAGTGACAGATTTAGTCATCGGTCAAATCTGGTGAGAAACCTGCCAGACACTGTCACGCTATATCGAAAAGGAAGTCGACTAGCGAAAGCGGTGATGAAGACGTGGTAACCAACTGGGAAATAGACATGCCTCGAAGCCAACTCTCAGAAGCGCAGCGTAGTACTTCTGGGACTAGACTCATGCCCTTGCGAAGTGGCACTGAACAGGCTGATGGCAACGAACACATTTGTCACATTTTCACCGTGCGGAAAAGAGTATCGGAGGGGCTGCTACAAGACGAGATCAAGCGTTCATGAAAACTACTTAAAGGCACTCGTCAAGCCAATATGGGAACTTTACAAGCACTAGGTGAAACCAGGCCCACTCCCGGAAGATCAGAAATGCAATGTCGTATGACTCATTTTCGAGGGAGATGGATAAAAGCTTGTTGACTGCAGACTGATGGCCCTGCCTAAGGTACTGCAAAACCTGGTAACACATAGGCTCAGGGAATTCTTCAGGGGAAGAGCACCGTTCATCCTGCTCACAGTGTGTTTCGAAGTAGACACTTGCATGCTGTCAACTTGATGACCATTCAGAATGTTTAAACCTCCAGCTGAGACGACAGGAAACCAGTCGATTTTATCTTTCTTGAATTAAGTAGTATATGCATGTACAAATTTGCCAATCCTGTGGTCACAACAGTGGTCGTACCATTACCCATCCTAGCTTTCTGACACCACCGACGTTCATGCAATCTTCATGGCTATGACTTTTCATCGCGACTAGCTTTTGACAGCACCTACAGAGTGCTATGCAGAAGTGATGAAGTCGCTACTAACGACAAATCTAGGGTGTGGACACGTAATGTCGATCAAGTTAAGCCTGCTTCCGTGAACCGTCAGAAAAAGGCAGCAATAACGTTAAACCAGCACAACTTGCATGAATTTAAACTCACTAAGAAGAACCTTGGGGAGTTTCCAGATCAGATTAAAGAGTTCCTCAGCTTGAGTGCTACGTGTGACTTATCGTGGTTTCGTTTACCTTCCATTCATATCATGTATCCCACTAATGTTTTCTACCAAATGTACATCATTTTTATCATACGAACTTGTTAATGCGCACTCACATTAAGTAATTTTTGGTCGTTCACAAATGTTACAGTAGCTTAAGGCCTGCAGATTTTAGGTTAGTTTACAGTTCCTTTTCCCTTTGTGTTAGGCGCTGCTAATTGTCAGAATTTACGACCTTACTAGTGAAGCCTTTGGTCACTCCCTACAGCGTCTCGGTGTAATACTGAACACGCACTCACTGTCATCCTTATCATTAGTAAATGGTTGCCTTTCTGGGCGCGCAATCTTATTGTATCACATTTCAATGTTCGAGTAAAAGAAACATGTTATCTACCCTAAATAACTGCATTCAAGTGTTGGAGCAGATAACTGATTTTTATCTTCCCGTAGTTAGGTAGTCCTTCGCAGCGTTTTGCATGATGCCGTTTTTCGGCAGGTCAAATTTTCATAAACGAACCCCCACCTTAGTCGTTTGAAATTGCATTCATGTTGCATGCATTTCTGCACGAAAATTTGACGGAATATGATCCGATTTGATATCATAAATAAATAAATAAATAGATGTTTCATCCTCGCCCTAGTAACCTAACATGAGTAACGCCAGTTTACAGTCATCATCTCATTAATATATGTCATCAACAGCTAGGGTATCTGAGAAAGCAATCCTGGGCCACTGTTGTTTCCATTGTCTATTACTGATTTTACACGATAAAGTCCCTACTCCGCATCTCGTTTCACTGATAACATCAAAATTTGGAGGTCACTAATAGTAGAAGCCTATTGCAAAAGGCCTCACGACAACGTACAATTACCAGAAATTTTTTGTTTGAAAACATCTTGAACCCCAACCTGGAAAGGTGAAAGCAACCTACACCAGGACCCATGGAGCAGTGGTAACCAAATGCAAACATTAATTAAAGTTAAACAACCGTGGCATCATCCATGCACCCCCGGAAAAGGATTTGAGCAAAATCTTCTTCCACTATCTAGGCACTAGTTCTCATTTCACACGAATTCAAGCAAGGGAAAATGTCATTTTATGCCTCCTGCTTGGAAATCTCCGCACTCTCCTACCAGGGCTCTTTCTGACTTTATTCGAATCGTAGGTATGGCTGCATCCAGAAGCACTCAAAATGGAAGCACCTTAGTGTCCAAGGAAGACTAATTCCCCTGAAAAAATAGACTATAAACAAGGCTATAGAAGGCAAAGGGAACCACGTCCAGGACGACTGAGATACATAGGCATATTCATTACGGGCCATCTTAGAAAGGTGAGTGGGTTTGCTATAGCTTACGAGATCATTCACTGAGCAAGTCAGACGAACAAACCAACGTCACCAGCAATACAATGGTCATCGGGACGGAACTATGCCGAAATAGCACAGCAAAGATACGACATCAGTATAACTTGTTTTTTGTGAGAAAATGGGTCTAGATGCAATACCTACGTTCACTCAAACGAGGATTGCTCCCTCGTTAGTTAATATGACTTACAAGTGAAGTACTTCAAACAATACTGACTTGATCAGACCTGCACTAGCCCGCCACTACGTTTCATTTACCACTAACTATCTGTTTGTTTTGATCGACCTCCTTTCTTTAAACGACATCCATCCCATCTACTTTAACTTTTGGAAGTCTGTTCTCACCCGAAAATATTCGCGCATACTGAAGGGTACAACAGACTCTGGATATTAAGAGGAACCAGAAGCTTGCTAACCAACTCAATCTACAGCTTTCAAATACAAATCCACAGAAAACACCCCTGGCCACAATTCAAAGCAGGTAAGTAAGAGAGATTTCCTTAAGTACTACAAGACTCAAACGAAACAATAAGATCTAATCCAGAAGCATTGGAGATAAGAGACAAAATATAAACCATTTCATAAACTAACACTGTTGTTGTTGGATGTTGACATGTAAACATTACATTTAGGCGCTAGTTTTGTTCTAGTTGCTACATTGTCTTCGATGTAACTTTTCCATATGCTCGCATACGTAATCAGGTACGTATGTGTTAACTATGTTAATATAGTACATCTAAAATGTGAAAACGATACTTTCCCTGCGCCCTATCATAAAGCCATTCTGTTCCCTAATTCAGAAACAGCTATTGCCGTCGAGTGAGATATATCACTAGTATGCTAAAAAGTAAATTAAGTGCAACCTTTAGAAAAAATGTTATCCCGTTTATTAAACTCATTTGGATGTAGGTAATATAGTGGTGTGTCTAAACTTTAGGAGAGATCCTGCGCAACTATTTTGTATGTCTTAAGACACAATATATTGTGTTGTATACACTAGAATTTACTTCTAATAAAGTTTGTTAAAGTTGTGAGTGAACTGAAAAACTCATTCATATGACGATCTTCATTTGATGGGTAACTCTCTTGATTTCCGTAACCAGGGACTTTGAAGGTATATGTTACTCTCGTAGATACGAAATAGAACAAATTCATCTTCACAGTTTTCGGGATAACTAATAAAAATTCCTTTTATTCGGCAGCTTTGGTTGCAGCCCGTTGTCACAGCTTACATATACAAGTGTGCGAAACAAAGTTGGGAGTCAGAGTTGTTAAACGTGTGAGAATTTTCAGGATGAAATCACCACAGAGGAGATGGCATGTGAGTAGGTATCTTTTCTAGCACCAGTTCTTACAATCTGCAGTGGGTAATTTAAGATTTTATCTCCTCCAACTGGTTAATAATTGTCATTTGCTATAACTTGTGGTTACAGCACTTCATTAATTACCGAGATAATACTAATTTCCTTTTGTCTTAGGCACCAGTAAATGTTGAGGTATGTAGTATTTGTAAATGACCTTCCTTCTGCTTCCGTGGGTATCTATAGTATGTTGCGTCATGACGAATATTAACCTTCATCATCTCTTCTTTAACTGTTTTCAAGTCTTTGGTTAATTAAAGTTCAGTCGTGTAAAAATTGAAAAACATATTCTCTGATTCATTTCTTAAAGTATTTGATAAGCTTCTGCACTAATTTTTCTAGAACGCGCGCAGAACTTTCTTAGTTTCTGAGAGCTAAAAGCATGTGAGTCATTTGCTTAGATATTCAGTTCACAATCTCTGGGTTAAAAGTCAAGGTTCCATCCAATTTTGGTGTATCTAATTTTTGTTGTTAGTAAAAGAGTCAACCAGTTAATTCAGTTTACACCTGTTAAATTAGTTGTGTTACACTGAATTTTTTAAGAATTACGACCTTGAATCACTAAGCTGTGCATCCGATCATCAGCTATAGGATCTTTTTTGGTCTACTACTACTTTGGCCTGAAATGTAGAACACTAAAATGCATTAGTGTTGACCACTCTCTTGAAGTCTAACGGCACCATTCAATCAACTATCAACTGTGGTCCACTCAGTTCTTGGACATTCTGATATGGATCTGAATGCTATACTTACACTTATAAGACTGCAAGAACTAGGCATCGCATATCTAGAAAATCGAAAAGTAAATTTTGTTGTTTGAGTAGATGGACAGAATACGCTTAAGTGAATAACCACATCCATCTGTTATTCACGTCCCTTAAATTCACGAACTGGTAAAACCAACGAAGAACCTCTCACACAAGTGCATCGACTCAAGTTGCCACACTTCACAGTAGTAAACAGAAGACAGATGGGTAGAAAAGGGATTATACCGAAGTAGGCGAAGTTGCGTCAGAGATAAACAATTTGAAGATAAAGGTTTGTGTGAATATTCAAGTTTTAGAAGACGTCAAGGAGTGTATACATCTGCACCATTGTGACCGGTTTCCAACCATGTGGCCAGGAGTTCTCAACCCCTGATTCCTATTGTCCTAGGGACTCCAACCAGGAAGTCTCCATTCCCCTACGTGGCTCAGATTAGCAGTTTGGGACTTCATCGACTGAATATATATATAGGTCTGGCCACCGTGAACCCTTTTCCAACCTAATACAACTTCTCCTAGTACGGCGTGTCAAGGTATGCGGTAGCTCGGCATGTGCAGTACATGTCCAAGTCATCTCAGCTGATGAAGGTCCAACAATCTCATCAATCGACTTGCCTGTCTTGCCTAGTATCCTCCGCCTAACTTCAACATTCCACCAAACGCGAGCAATGCTACGAAGGAATCTGTGATCAACAACCTGTAATCGCTTCATGTCTCTTACTTTCAACGGCCATGCTTCAGAGTCTTATATCACAAGAGGACAGAACGGACTTCAGCACAGTATGCTCGTCCATTGATAGATAGTCGGATATCTCGCCAGTCAGTGTCACAGACATCGCTAGTTGGCAAATACCGAACATGGTATGTGTATGCGAGCTGAGATTTCGTCAACAGCCTGTTGGTTCGGTGGAGTGATGGAACTACGGAAGTAAGTGTAGTGTTGGACATATTCCACCTCTTTACTCACTATTTGTAAATTGGGAGTACTTGCAGGAGACCAATCTTGGAGCATCATCTTTTATTTGAGAGATGCCAATGAAACGTGTGTGGAACATACTCAGATTTCTACTCAGTGCGTCCAGAAGGTTGTGCGTTTTGTCAGCGTATTCACACAGCAGGTCAACATGGTGTGCATACTCTAAGTCCACGAGATGACGTGAAGGGAGTAGGTCAATCACTGTGAAGTTCGGCGTACTGTAGGTTATATGTATAAGTACATCTATGACTATGTTGAATAGGAACGATGACACTGGACATCCTTGGTTGACACCACTATTTGTTTTCAATTGTTAAGATAACTTTCCATAAGGTCTTAGACAATTGCGTGAGTAGGAGTAGAGAGGCTTGATTAGCGCTATATGCGTGCTCGGTACTCTCTTGATAGTCGGACGCTGCGACAGCACCTCACGGTTGACTGAGTCAAATTGCACCTTCAGGTCAAGAAATAGGGCTAGTGACTGGTAGGTATGCCTGTGTTCCAGAACCTGTGGGATGGGGAAAACATGATCGATGAACCCTCTTCCAGCTCAGTCTGAAACTTGCCTAATTTCCTCAAGTTTACTATTCTCGAGCTCGAGTTAGGCGTCTGATAGCTGTGGACCCTAGGATCTTAGACACAATACTAGTCAAACTAATTCCCCTATAGTTGTCACAAGATTTCCCTTCTTAAAGACAAATTGTGAGTGAATTACAGTAGTCTGACGACACTACTACTGATACCCACACACTACCTAGTACCTCTGTCCCTTTCCTCATGGATTTCTTACCTCCACCCTTGAAAACTTCAGGTTGCAAACTGTTAGGTCGTGTTTGTTTGCACCGGTTGAGTTTTGATACAGCTTTCTGAACTTCAAGGGGTTAGTTGGAGGACTGATATCTACGTGTCATTCAGGTTGAGGCTGAACGTTGGGCAACCAAAGCGTTTTTGAGGACTAGTTGAACTGTGTTTCGCAGTGTTCTGCTTAACGTTCTAGCCGATTGTTCTTTGAGTTTAAGAGTGTCTCATCTTTTTTGGTGGTTACACTCCTCATCGTCTTCTTCTTGGTAGTATCCTTTATAAGCCTAGGTAGTGGCCGAATGTCACGCAGTGCTGACACCTTCTCCATCTCTCTTGCTTTCTCCATCCATCACTCCTCGTGACAGATGCGAAGACTCTTGGTCCACCTACGTTTAAGTTCTTACTATTCGCCATGGTCATAGCCAGATGAGATCAGTCGTTTTACATCCATCAGTTTGGATGATGTCGTGGAAACCCGATGACGTTTACTAACCTTCGTGTATAAATTACTAATTGTCTTTGCCACGGTTTCGACAGAAGACTTAATATCATGCCAGATTTCTTCAGGATCACCACTGCTGTCAAGTTTAGATAAAAGTGCTTAAGTGATTGCTCTTTAAATGCGTACTTGGCATCCTCATCTACCAATCGAGTACAGATGGTCTTCGCTGCCTCCTCTTTTCTGTGGCCAGTGAAGCTGAGATATGCACGGATTCCAGAGAGTTACTTCAGAAACAGCCGCAATCCTCAAACGATGGCATATAGCAGTGTGATCTATCCATGTGCACCGTTTGTATAAAGTGGGCGAGTGACATGTAAGACAGTGTCTGTCCTTATGCTTAAAGTTAGTACTGGCTAGAAACGGATGTCTTTTGGAGTAAAATTGGAACAGACGATCTCCGCTGCCGGTTCATCGGTATGGGATTCCGTAAATACTTGGCAGATGCTTCTCCGATTGACTTGGCTTCCCTACTTGAGCGTTAAAGTCACTTGCCATTATGCCTACATCTGAACGTTCTGCTTTCTACAGCAAAGTTGAAAGGTGATAATAGAATCAATCTTTTGCATCATCCGAGTTATGGTTGGTGGGTGCGTAAATGGAGATAATAAATAGGCATCGCCTAGTTTCACGATCCTTTCTAGTCTTTACAGATTCATTCATTCGAACAGCACAGACGACTGTTTACTGAAACCCATTCGAGGAGCGCACTTTCCGCTCTACAAATCATTGCTATGCCTACACCATTCGAGTACATGAGAGTTAGGCATCGGTTCTCCAAATACTCTTAAGGTTAATTTTGAAGATTCACCACACTGATCAGGTGAGGTCAATTTAATAACCACACTCAGGTCATGTAAAGGTGTCTCATAGAGATAGCACGCATCCGTGGCTAGAGATTTCAGAGTTTTGCAAGCGATGCTTACTGTCCGTTTTAACATAGTGTTCGGGCTTTGAAAGCCATTACACGAAATGGATAGCAGGGTCTTAGGAGAGTAGTAATGAGGTTTCGAAGGCCTTAATCGTTGACAGTGGTTGAAGAGTTAGAGGTTGGGTAAGACGTAAGGGGCCAAATTGTAGCTCAAATCGTTTGTTGAACACTGTAGGTAATATGGCTCAAAGTCGATTTGTGGTGTAAATGTATCCTCACACACATCTCCATTTTAGTGGTCATAACGAATTTTTTCCATTACTTAATCCCTTTCTCTTTGTACGACTTTCTACTAGTTATGATTAATTTATTCCTTGTTTCGTACTTTATCTTGGTGCCTTTTACCTTAATGTGTTGGTGTGAGGCGTGGTAACTTGCATCGTTACACAATAGTGTCAGATCCATTGTTAATACTAATGAGTAGTAAATTAGTGCTTCTTTCATGAATTTTATCACTATGCAACGGAGTAAATTTTATAGACGTCGATGAGTTGTGAATCTGTGCTGCTGGTGTTTTCAACTTTTAGGGAATGGGAATTAGATTAATGATGACTATTTCTTATAGTAGCAACAAAGTGCTGTGGGTTATTCTATCTCTACATGCATACATAAAACCTACAATATTTTCATGGCATCATGTTTCATCCGTTTACTGCGTTAAATGAACTACTATCTCTATATGACCGAAACGGAATATTTTATTACTAAATAACTCCATTCTCAAAGCATTAATATAAAAAAAATTTAAGAACACATCCAATCATTCATTGATTGATCACTTTTGCTTCAGTTTTTCTGTCGTTCTGAGAATATGAATCAATGCGCTTGTTTGAATAGCTCACCGTTGATTTATATTTCTTTCTGAATGTGACGCCACTGTTTTACTTACTGATGCTTAATTCTCCCACCCACTGTTCTAAGTATAATTTATCCCTCCGACTTCCTGGAGCTTATGAGTTCACTCATCTGTGCTGTTTCTGGCAGTACTGTAGGCTCATTCGGCCTTAGTTGACATGTGTTACTCTTAGACTAACACGCCCAGATTTACATCTTTACCCAATTGCAATGGGTTAATAATCCTCAACTTCTTGATCATGATCAACAATGAATAATCTCTATCGGTTCATTATTACTAACGCAATGAGAACTAGAACTAGAATGTTTTGCCTACCTTTACATTATATCAGAAACTTGAGAGATAGATAACCGGGTTGCTGTGATACCTATCTTTCTCTAAGCTAGTTGTTGGGAGTTTAGTTCAATTTGGTCCTTTTCTTATTTTAGATGGAATTTAAATGACCTCGGATGTACGAAATTTTACTTCCTCAAATAACACACAAAACTCTATCGCGTGAGTTTTTTTTCTGTACTTTCTTATAGAGTTACGCTCAGTGTTTTAGTGCTCATAAATCATTAAGCTTTCCTATTCTTCTTTTGAGATACCATTTTGTTTTCACTGCTTTGACTTACCACCATCGGGTTTGGTATCTTCGGTATTCTTGGATGGATGATAGACATGTCAAATCACTTCAATGAAAAGATTCAATATTTCACCGAATCCAAGTTATTTATTAAGTATGATCCATACGATTGATTCTTAAAAATGCATAATGACAGATAATAATATGCGTACGTAGATACGTAACTGATAGATTTAGACATGTGTTGTGCAGTTTTCTTGCTTTTGCATTTGTAGAAAAAGTAAGCTGTAATCATGCTTCTTTAAATCTTTAGTTTGTGTAATCATTAGAGGAAGGCTATGGCATAACATAAGTTTTTATTTATGATGAACTATTATGAATTACCGGAGATTTTATTACCCGTGTGACTTTTAGTTTTCGTAAGTTAAGTAACAGTTCAAACTTTTAAGATAACCTTCTAAAAATACGTCCATCAAAGGTTACATGTACTTTGCGACTTTTTGAACGTGTTTGTTGAGTGGTTCACCCAACGTTTTGAATTTTCAGGCTGATATCTAGTTAGGGAATTCTGATCAAGTAGAACTCTTGTATTTGGTTTTCGGTTTCTTAAAGTGAAAATTTGTAGCTTATTGTGAAAAGGATGCAGTTGATATACCTTACTGGTATTGCTTCATCTGGAAGATGACAGTGATATAAAACAGTTTTTTGAACCTATGCACGCATAGTTTTTACTCATGTTGTTTTGTACCTATCTCAATACTAGATTCATTTTTTCGTAATTCTTCACGCCGACATTGCAGCACATTAGTAGTTACGTTATTAGGGTGATTGAACTAAGTAGTGCTATCATCTTTATTATAGTCCTAGTACCTGTTGACCATTTTTTTCAGCACACTGGTTTATTCCACGTTTTCTTATATTATCAGAATGGTAACCTACCCGTACTAACTTATGAACTTAGTGACTACATCTCACTTAACAAACGGTTTATTGCAGTGTCTTCAGTGACAGATTTATCAACATTATGTTTTCCTGGTCTGACTGTTCCCTTATCCTTTCCAGAACTTTAACTTCGTTACGTGGAATGTCTGTCAGTTGCTATTGCTACACCTATATAGCGCAGTCGTCCTAAGACTATTGAACTAGGGATTTATGAAAGCAGCCTACAAAGTATTGGTTGAATGTAGTATTAAATATTTCTCCTAAGACTTAATATTATGTGACTTTATCCTAAAGATGTTTCGGTAATAGTATACAGAATCTTCAACACGTAATATTGTATCGATAACACAAAAACAGACTTAAAAAGCGATTTACTTTATGTATGACTTTCTCCATAAGAAAGTAATTGCTGTTAATAACAATCTCAGTACATAGATGATGGGAAACAAAATAGTCACTAATTCACTCGCTGCTACAAATTGATGAATGAGTTTATTTCCACCATTTTCTTCTTCTCAACGGACGGAAGCTAACTAAAGTATGGTAGAGTTTATATATTTAGACGTATGTACATGAAGTCTAGTGTACTTATTGCTGGTCCTACTTGAAGACTGCTGACTTATTGGCTGTGAATGAAGAGATGATCAGCAGCTCATCCACTGAAGTAAATCCTTACAGTTGCGTACATGAAATAAGACTTTTTCTCAGCCTTGTCCATGAGGAAGGTTAAATGTACTTGGCTGATTCTGCTGATAGTTTGCAAAGTTCCATGCAATACAGTGCACTCCTTTTTAATATGACTAAGAAAGAATAATTAGGAACAATAGAGGAAAATGGGTGAAATGTGCTTAGTTGTTTATTTATTTGTGAATATTTGAAACCCTATTGTCATCAGTGTCACTGTCAGTCCCTATAAAGCAACTTTCTGCTTCTAGAAGTCGTTTTTCAATATTACTATCATTTGTTGACTAACCAAAAAGCTCAGTACTCAAGTTTACTTCACCTGTTTACAGGAAAACATCAACTTTAGTAGCTAGTAGGATCATGTATTGGTTCAACTGGCTAATTTATACTAGCAAATGAGAGGGGTTCACAAGAACAAGAAAAAATAACTAACTATACCGATAATCATACAGATTCTACAAGGCATGTTGTTCTTGTTTTACTAAATCTATGTATTTGGAAACCCGTATAGTACCTAGTTGGTCATAAAAAGTGCTTGTTAATGCTTTAATTTCAACTGATTCCGTTTGAAAATTCGAACTTCCTGTCAAAAAGGTTCATTGTAACAAGATACTTGATAATTACACAAAGTAAAGACACTTACGCATCTGCATCACTACAATCGATATTAAATCTTTTTACATAAGGTAGCTTACCATCAGGATGAGCTTACTTGCTAACCCTATCGAAAAAGTTGATATTTCCCTACAGCAAAGTTACTGTTCAAACATGTTTTGGAAATTTAACCGAGCTAAAAGTTGAATTTTCAAATAATTAGTATATTCTTTCTTTGAAATGGTAGAGAATATTTGTAGTTCAGGTGGATGGTCTTGGTTGTATTGTGTTCTCTGAGCTGGGTTGTTTGGTCGTGGAGCTTTCATCGTCTTTCTAGACGACATCTTGAGCACTAAATTCAGTATGAAGTTAGTTCTGACAACACAATACAGCCAAGATATTATTTCCTGAAAATGACAAATGCTTATTTCTATGCCTATTTCGATATGATATTTAATTTCATATTTTGTGTCTAAGTAGTTGTATATGTGTTAATTTTTTTCAAAACCGGATTTTCCATGAATTTTTATTTCCTGTAGGACTCATCAAACTACACAATTATCCGAGTTGGAGACAATATCAATTTTAGACATAAATGAGAGCTCATTTGTATCTAGTACTAAGGATCAGTTGTTTGCTTACCAACAAGCACTAGAAAATTGGCTTCGGAAAGCTGTGATCCATACATTCGCTAAATTCTCATCGAATCATAGGGTAAGTTTTCTTGTATGGCTTAATCGGTTGGATTGAATGTTTTAAGCAATGATAGAACGTACTGTTTCATTACAACTTACTCAACGAAATGTTATCTCATACTTGTTCCGCTAATAGTATCAAGCAAGAAAAAGGACTCGAAATAATGGGATAAATTCATCTTATTCTGATAACACAGTTGCGCAATATTGTATCAGCTAGATTTGCTACAGCTGTCAGCGGCGCGGAAAAAATTCATTTAAGTCACGTAATAAGAAGGAGAAAGGTATGAGAGAAGAAGTAGATGTAACAAATGGATGACTGCTTGCCGACCTGTACACCAGATTATACGCAGCATTTGTTACATGAGAGTTGATACTCTTTTCCCACCTGAATCTCGGTGGAGGGCAGAGTTTGAACTTGCCGATTTAAAGCCAAATCTTGAGTTACTAAAGTATTAAGCTCAAAATTAGTAATGAGTATACAATGTTACAAAATGAACGAAGTACAATTCAACGAAGAAATTTTTCTTTCCGACAGAGGTCATTTTCAAAAGATGTACAATCGTAATCATAATTACAACAAAATATATATCCATCAATAGCTAATTGGTCAACGCAGTCATCAGAAACGACCAATGAAGTCACAAAGTGATAACGGCTAAAGGTCAACTCAAGGCCATCAAAAATTGCTTACCGGATTACAATAAATAAACATATAATAAACAAGAAGATGAATAGAGTCGAGTCATCTGGTGACTACAGAAGACAATCTTAAGGGGGATACAATAGAAGGTTTTCTTTAGTACTGTAGACAATCAGTTCTTTAGTATCTTTACCACTGCATCTCCCTTGATCGATGAGTTCCATCTGTATAACAGATACATGGGTGGTGACATCTTCATCTGTGAATAGGTATACTACAAAAGTTCAACGAATGTCAAAAGTCAATTAAATTTACCATGGAAACTGAAAATATCTCAGAATTCCACTTCTGTCATGAAGAAGACATGATGCTTGCCTTAGGAGATGGATTTACAGGAAGCAAACGTGGAATGGATAATGTACCAATTTTTTAAGCTGGATTCCACTATGCACAAGAATCAAAAGAATTTGTACAGATGATGAAGTAACTGAGAAACTGAAAGTACTACGAAGAGTGTTTATTGGGAATGATTATCCTTCAAGATTCATTGAGAGGGACATAAGGCCTAAGCATTTCCAATGAAGAAACCCATACGGTTCCGAAAAAGGTACTATAAGTAGATATTGGATTCAGGGGAGATGCATTGGCAGAGATATTCAAGAATTGATTGTCTACAGTACTGAATAAGACCTTCTATTATAGCCCGCTTAAGATTGTCTCCTGCAGTCAACAGATGACAGTGTGTAAGGGATAAATTACCGCTTTGGGCTTCCTCAATGTGCGTCTGCCAACTCATCTGCTCTTGCGGAGCTGGTTACGTAGGCCGCCCAAAGCGTATTCTGTCCTAGCGCATTTCCAAACACTATCCTGTATGACACTGCTTCAACACTACGGAGTGCCACTGGTCTTTATCAACCTCATTCAACAGCTATATGAAGACGCCACATGCCAAGTGATTCACAATAGAAAGCTCAGTAATGCCTTTGAAGTTAAAACAGGAGTAAAACAAGCCTGCCTACTATCACCTATGATCTTCCTTATTGTGGTAGACTGGATCACGTAACGAATCTTGAGGAGTGAGAAGATGGACATACGGTAGCTGGACCGATGAAAAGACCCTAGGAGATTTGGATTTCGCCAACGATGTTGATTTGTGTCTACTATTGCACAAACTCGAAAATCTACAGGCAAAAGCCAACAAGTTGACAGAAGAGGCGAGGCAGCGAAAACAGGACTTCAAGTGAACGTAGAGAAGACAGAGGTAATGAAGATACCCAACCAGCAACAACAAGAAGCACCAATCACCATCAACGGGAGAAACCGGAAGGAAATTGTCTCTTTCACTCACCCAGGCAAGGGAGCGTCGTTTCAACTACAGGCGGTGGCACAGATGAGGACATCAAAATCAGGATCGGAAAAGCAAGACAGGCCTTCATTAATCTGAAATCAGTGTGGAGATCTACTGCACTCAGCATAAAGCTTGGACAAGATCCGAATTTCCAACACCAGCGTCAAGTCAGTGCTTCTGTGTGGTGCTTCAGAAGCTTGGCGCGTTACGAAAAACATTTCCAATAAACTACAGATATTCATCACCAGCTGCCTACACTCGCTCGATGCTGAAGATCAGATGGCCAGAAAGAATAAGTAACAAGGAACTCTGACTGGCTGGCTGGCAACGAACCAACCAAGAACCCATCGCCCAATAAATAATCAGAAGAAGAAAGTGGAGATGGATTGGGCATACGCTGAGGAAACCATTCAGAGACATCACTCACCAGGCCCTCGAGTGGAATCCAAATGGGAAACGAAGAGTTGGGCGTCCAAGGCGATGATGATATGGAGGAGATCATGTGAGGAAGAAATGAAAGCTTGTGGGCAGTGTTGGAGCCAGGTTGAAGAGAGTACAGGGAACAGAGTGCAATGGGGATGTGCTACTGAAGCCCTATGCTCAACTAGGAACGCAAGGGACAAATAATAATAATCATGTATGACTGTCGGAAGAAGAGTGCAAAGCCATAGACAACTTGATTCTTGAGCCCCTGGGTAACTCTGGTCACTTTGCTTCGTGGGAATCTTGTTTCAAAGTCATCTGTAAAATGAAACCAAACATTTCCAAGAGAGTGCGCACTCACCACCTCAACATAGCAGAAGCTTTGGCAATTCAGCTGTTAAAGCCTGATCTTTGCGTTTAAATGAGATACATTTAATCTCTAATTTTACCTTGGTCGTAATCTCCCCAAGACATTCTGTTCATCTTTTTGTTTATTATATGTTTATTTATTGTAATCCGGTAAGCAATTTTTGATGGCCTTGAGTTGACCTTTAGCCGTTATCACTTTGTGACTTCATTGGTCGTTTCTGATGACTGCGTTGACCAATTAGCTATTGATGGATATATATTTTGTTGCAATTATGATTACGATTGTACATCTTTTGAAAATGACCTCTGTCGGAAAGAAAAATTTCTTCGTTGAATTGTCCTTTGTTAATGTGAGATTATTCAGTGAACTGGAGTCCAGCGTAAAACCTGTAGTTGTCCACACGGTTATATTGAACTTTATTTATCTCTGCAGTTGTAGTTTGGCTACTGTGAAACTGTTTTTTACTCATTACAACCGTCGTCGTTCATCAGTTTTTTAGTGACCTTACATACGCTGCTGTCACCTCAGTTTTTCAAGATTCATGTCCATGTTAGCTGATTTGTTGCCTTTATCTAGTGCTGTTAACTGAACTTCAGCATAACTCATGCATTAGTTTGACCATATAAGTTTTATTCCGTAGGTCTCACTGTTTGAATACTCATAATCAGTATATGTTTTTCCTCTTGTGTCGTTATGTTTTATGGCTACATATTACGAAAAGGTGTAACATTGTGTAGTATGCCTATTCCTTAGAATTTTTCCTGGCATTGTTATTATTTTAAACAATCAGTCTTTTAGATGATTCTTTCGATTTTGTTCAGATACTTCCTCTTCCTCCACTTTTATACCATCTTTCTGTTTCGTACTTATCAAACCAACACTCGACGAATAAACAGAAAAATCAAAAGTATTTTTACATCAAAATTGTTCGCGGTTATCTAAAGCAGACTCACACAATGTATTTTGTAGATTTCAGTGTACAGATATTCTATTTTTGCTTAGCTATTTGAAGATGACTGTGATCACCGACAAAGAGACAATTCTCTTCTCATGTACACACTACTTAGTAGTTTATGTGTACATAAGCACTCAGGTTTGCCTGATTCTTTGAGGACTCAATGTTTTTGGTTTCATAGTTTCGACATTCTGTTTAATATAAATTTCTGTTTTGATATGCTTGTCAGCTGTCCCAGTGTGTTCCTAATTTGTATATTTTTGTGAGAGTGTGCTATAAATCTAGATGCATGGAATTACACAAAAAACTATTTCTCCAGTGTTTAGCTACGCTTAAAGACTATCTTAAGCTTTGTAAACTCAGAAAATGTCAAAGCCATAGAAATGCAAACTATGCGAATGAATAACGAAAATTTCTTGTTTCCTTTTACAAGTACACGTCAAACTATTTAGTTACGAGATTTCTTACAAATGGGATCAATAGGTTTACACTTCACTCGAAATTAGTAAGAATATAAAAATGACGATAATAAATTTGTATAAGCTAATGTATTGCTTCACACTAATCACTACAAAGGATAGATGAGATTTTTTGTATATACACGTCAAGACACGAAAACACGTATATTTATGTGATTTTGACTGTAACTGACATTTACATTCAGGGCATTCAGCTTCATTCTTTTTTTTGACTGACTAACTAGTGGGTTATTGGAAGACAGAGAAGACTTCATTGCCTTTTCAGATAATCGAATTAACTATATAAAAACTTTTTCAAATTATTCACTTTGCTACAAGCTGATTAGGTGTATATTTTGGTTACTGTTAACCTACTTAAACTGTTAGTGAAGTAACCAGCGGGAAAAATAATAAGAGTATTATGATGCAAGGAATGTGAATACTTATCGAACCTTACAACTGAACATTATTGTAGTGGTTATAACAGTACACAATTCGTTCTATCAGGAGGAAGTGAATCGAGTATATAACAGATGTATAGGTAGATTTCGTCAGAACTTTCGAATAAATCTTATTTCTGCTGTGCTTAAAATTTAAAAAGTACATATCAACCTAATTTAGGTGGTAAATTTTCACGTAAGGTAGAAATTTACTTCGGTTCCAATTTCTATTTCCTTAGAATATTGGAAGGACTACAGCGAATCATTTTCACACTGTTATGACGTCTGGAAGACTGATTCTATCTGAAATCACTCGCTAACGTATGTGAAATCGACTAACTTCAAGCAGTTTATGGATTTCGGGTGTCTTTTTCGCTGATTGATTCAGCTGTTTGGAGGGAAATCTTACAATGTGGTCAAATATCATAGTTTATAATGTGTCTTGACTGTTGTTAAGGCTATTAGATTTCCCTGTTCAGTCTTATTTACTGAGTATAATTCATCATACCTTTTTAATCCTTATTCATACCACTTTCTTATGTGTTGTCCATAAACCATTATTATCATTGGATATTCGATTTCTCTTCCTATCGCTCCATTCTTATTGGTAGGCTCTTTTAATATACCATCTCCTTTTTCACCTTTCGAAGTCATCAACCAAATTTCATAATATCATTGTATCAGCATATCTTATTCTTAGTTGAAACAATTCAAACAAGGATACTATTTTACTTATGTCTCTTTACTAGATTTTGCACAACTAAAAAGTCATCATATGAATTGAAAAAAGCCGGTTATTTCTTCCTGGAATATCCATTATCAACAATTTTTAAATACTTACTGATAACAGTTTCCTTACTCCGAACCTCTCAAAGTAACTTTTAACATCTTCAAGTTGATGTTGCTTTCTTTGCATAATCTATTCAGTTTCACTGACATATCAAAGGGACTAAAACTGTCTTTCATTCGTGTATTAAATGAAATTTATGAGATAGTCTTCGTTCAGTAGGCTGGGAATGATAACCGCAGTTGAAACAAAACTTCGTCCCAGCGGAAATCAATCCAGTAAGTTGAGGTTTCTAAACTCATCGTTCTACTGACTGACCTGTAAGGACTAACTGTTGACTATCTCCAGATTAACTTATTACTTTCGTTAATTCCTAATTTATATTTCGCTTACAGAGCAGTAGTTGCAACGTATCTGCCTGAAAGTATATGCTTGAAACTTGTGAAATTATGATTGACCTAATGAAAGGAGTTTTTGTCTCAGTGGCTTAAGTACTTGGCTGTTAACCATTAGGTTATGGTTTAGAATCACATCATACACACTGAGGTTCGGACACTCATTTAATGTCATTAGTCCATGCGCAGTAGGTGTTGCGTATAGTTTATTGCACAGACACGCACTCGGCCGTTTGGTTATATTGTTTTTATTCATAATAAGTTGGTTTTTTTATACTAAGAAAGAACGAACACCATAGCTTCTTTGTTTATGTTCTCGAGGCTGTCGTATATGAGATAGGCGATTCAAACCAATTTTTATGATGAATAATGGCTGGCGGTATAATCCAGGATGCGCATTTCGTCCTGTTTGGGACTTGTCAGCTGGAAGTTTCTGCATCCCAGTGAGGTATATTGTTCCCACAAAGATTCGAAGCAACGACAAATTTAAACCAATATTCCTAGCATTCCTACTATCGTTCCTTTTCTTTCGCAGTTAAGAAAAATGCTCCTGTTGTTTTCTGCTTTGCTTCATTCACTTCGTTTTGTTAGTAGCAGTTTCTGTGTTGGGAACTAATATAATCAAATCTTATTTGAATGCATTAAGGTGAAACAGACATATTCTATCCACTATTTACATTTATCATTGAATATATTTCATGTTCACATTCTTAGTCATCTTGTAAACTACTGACTACTAACTGTCTACATTGTTATTGATCGATTGTAAAACATAACTTTTTTCCCCGTTACCTTTGTTTGTATGTTAAATCTTCATTCAGTCAGTGCTTTCAATGAATTAAACCCAACTTTAAGATATTCATATTCTATAAAGATAACTAAATCTTTATGTCTGAAAGATCAGTCGTAGGATCTGAAAGATAAGTATAGTAATATAAAAGAATCCTGTTTTTCTTGTAATCGGAAAAATTAACTGACCAAAACAAGAAAATTACTGTACCACTACTGATGGATGGCATAACATTACCTCATAAAATCATAGCGGGGGTAGTATTCCACTTAACAAGAAGCAAAATGTTGTGCGGAAAAAGTGTGAATTATAATACTTCCCCAAAAAAGAAAATCAATTATGCTAAAATTGTATTATTATACTTGTGCGCATTGTAATTATTTGGTCAACATAAGCGTAAATCAGTTCTGTAGTAAAAATGTGTCACATATGTTCAGAATTTTGGTGTTTATCAATTGTGTAAGATAAATTTTATGGATGATGACTGATGTTATTTGTCGACAGGGTAAAAGCGTCTATCATCTATGAACTCCTGAACTACTAATTAAACATGAGCAAAGCGTCAACGTTTCTACCGAGAAATTTTGTAATGGGAGTAAACATATTTACATAAATTTGTTGTTTTTTACGTGTAAAAGCTATTTAAAAGCATCCAAAAGGTACTCAGTGTTAAGGTGTATTATTGAGCACTCTGGTCGTTAGTAATTGAAAACATCATATATCAAGGTCTTATATTTGATTTGAAAAAAAGCCAATCCTAAGCATTACTGAAGATTGATGTATAGTGGCTAGCGGTAGAATCCAGGATGGACATTTCATCCAATTTGAACTCGTCAGGTGATGTCTAGGCATCCTCACGGGAGCTCATATGCCAATAGAGAACGATCAGTTCGGTCCAATCAACGACGGTATAATACGAGGAATAACACTATTACTGAAGACTTCTTAGTTTAGGATAAGGTAGGTTTCCAGTAGCTGTTGTTTTTATTGTCCCACTTGTTATGGAAGGTGTGTAATATTTCTGTCTTTACAGTGCTTCAGATTTCCATCTCAATACTAACTTATAGTTGTAGTTCATGCGCTAAAAATTTCATATCAAGATATTTAGCGGTGATTCGGATTACGTACATAGACCAATAAAATCCAAGATGATCCAAGAAGATCATGATCGAAAACCTAATCTTGATGATGAGTTGAGTTTTTACTAACTTATTTATCCTGTTGTGTTAATTGAATTTATTTCTTATTACTTACTTTAACATGCAAAAGTTAATCAGTTGAGTTTTATTATCATATGGTCTCTATATACAACCATGTTAAGGTTGTTCTCAGTTATATGGTGTCTTTGTTCTAATTGCTAACTTCCGTGAGGGTATTTTGTTGAGCGCTGTATAACAGCATTTTTTATTTACTTGAACTTTCCAAGCCTTGTCATCACTTTAATCGTTTTTATCTCCTTGCCACATCTAAATGAACTGAAGAAGTAATTTTCGAGAATAAACTCATATAATAGTTAAAACTGCTATTCTTTGCATCTTGTTTCCTGTTCAACCTCACTTTGGTTGACATTATGCTTCAATTTCTTTCCACTGTTCTTATTTGTTTTTCATTAGTCCGTATTTTCGCTTCGTGCTTTTCAATGATTTGCTTGCGTGAAGTTTAAACACATCGATAATTAAAAGTGTTCATTCCTACGCTGTTGTTTCTGTTACTGTTATTGTACACAATCTTCAGTTAAAATGCCTTCTTGCGTTTCTTTCAGTTCCTGCTTTCTCTAATCACCTGAAGCTGATAATGAATGTGGCTGGTAAATCTGAAGGGAATAATCATGATAGGGATATGTTTGTTTCAATGTGAAAAAAATTTCACTAGCTGATATTTTTGTTTTTATTGTTGCTCAGCTGCTTAGTTTTAACCCAATAGGTAGTTTCATAGGTTATTTGACGCTCAACTCGTATTCATCTTTATATCTATGCGATGGGATCAATGGTTAAAATGAATTCCAATTCATTCAGGCTACCGTGTATTTTAATGTTAAGGTTTTAAGTAGTCTTTCACTAAATAATTTGTCATATTACTTAGACCTACAGTGTTAGACGAAGTAGTACTAATTTGAAGAAGGCCCAGGATGGTCAGACGAAGATATGACATCTGTGCATGAAGTGTATCAACGTTGGTCTGAACCGTGTTTGGAGAGATAGACTGCCTGGTTGGGGTCATCGAAAAGATAGGAATCAATAGTTGAAGATTCTTAGTTTCATGGCTGAAAATCTGTCACAATGCCGCAGATTTATTCACTCTTTGACGCCTTCTAAAGCTTGAACAGTATCACTAACCTTGATTTACAAATTCTTTCCCCTCCCATACATCTTTTTTCCTTTCATTCCACCTTAAAGTATAGGAATTCGATTCGATGCAATTGTGTATGAGGTTCTACGTTGATTTTGTCTGCCTGAGAAGTAGATTCTTACTACAATAGATGTGACGAATTTTAAATAATTGCCTATCGCATAATTATAACTACTTGATACTGTGTTCATATTTTTATTACTGAACAAAGCATGTAAACAAATTTATTCATTCTACTCACTGTTGTTAATTGCATCGATCAAATAATTAGTCAATTATTCCTCTAATCTATGGATACACAGTCTAAAACAAGTGAGCAAAGTGTTTATTGATAGCAACTGGTGCATCCGTACATCCGACGTAAAATCGTACAACATTAGAAGAGATACATAACTTACAATGAAGATCATAATTATTTGATATTCTCTGGGATTTGATTATCAACTTATCGCTATCAAATACGAAAGTCCGGAGAACCGTACACATTTGTCATCACTCACCTTTTGAAAACTTGTGGGAACTAATGTTTAATTTGTGTGCACTTATTGATTCCTTTTTGGAGACTATAGCCTATCGGTCTTAACACATCACTTGCAGTTTAATCGTCATTGGGTGGAATCACTGAAGATATGAGTTGATGATAGTTCACTAGTACCACTACCTTCATTTGATAGGTGCAACCGATAGTTTAGTAATTAAATACTTGCACCTAGTTACTGAGTCATTTTGTCTTCCATTTTTAGTTCCTCACTTCGAATTTATTGATTTTAAAGAAAAATTAAACCTACAAAATTATATTATACACTGAAAGCAAACTGTTCCATTCTGAGTATCTTTCGTAATTTCTCTTATTTTTTTTGTATGGATGCTTAAACTTTCAGTCATTCGAATCGGTTACAAGAATTGTGGGCCTTCCTACATCACTTGCTTGTGCACTGAGCTATTACATTCCTGAATTTTGGAAAAATTTGTCCATTGATGACAAATTGGATCAAGGTTGGTAATTGCATTGAATTATTGTTAATTGGTCGAATTTAATTTCCTTATTATATTTTAGTTATATATATCTCTCTCTCTCTGTTTGGTATTTTATTACCATTAGTTTATTAGAGCGTGTGACTTAAATTTGATATTGCTCTGAGCTTTGGTCTCATGACCATTGATGATAGTATATTATTTCATGCTATGTACACGTTCTCAATACCTTAAAAGTGATGTGAACAGTGTTAATACAGGCGTTTTAGCCTTACGTGTCATGTTTATCACGTCATTGAACCATTCTAAAGTTACTACTAGATTTTAACGTCTCATCTAGTCGTATGAAAATGTTCTAAGTCTTCAAACAATATCGCATGCCAGTAATATGTATTACTATTGTAGTGTTATTACCTACGTACTAAATAAGCTGAATTGTGTTACTATCTTATTTCATCATCTTTCTCTCTCTCACACACACACAACAGTTAGGGACTTCATCGACTGAATATATATATAGGTCTGGCCACCGTGAACCCTTTTCCAACCTAATACAACTTCTCCTAGTACGGCGTGTCGAGGTATGCGGTAGCTCGGCATGTACAGTACATGTCCAAGTCATCTCAGCTGATGAAAGTTCACAATCTCATCAATCGACTTGCCTGTCTTGCCTAGTATCCTCCGCCTAACTTCAACATTCCACCAAACGCGAGCAATGCTACGAAGGAATCTGTGATCAACAACCTGTAATCGCTTCATGTCTCTTACTTTCAACGGCCATGCTTCAGAGTCTTATATCACAAGAGGACAGAACGGACTTCAGCACAGTATGCTCTTCCATTGATAGATAGTCGGATATCTCGCCAGTCAGTGTCACAGACATCGCTAGTTGGCAAATACCGAACATGGTATGTGTATGCGAGCTGAGATTTCGTCAACAGCCTGTTGGTTCGGTGGAGGGATGGAACTACGGAAGTAAGTGTAGTGTTGGACATATTCCACCTCTTTACTCACTATTTGTAAATTGGGAGTACTTGCAGGAGACCAATCTTGGAGCATCATCTTTTATTTGAGAGATGCCAATGAAACGTGTGTGGAACATACTCAGATTTCTACTCAGTGCGTCCAGAAGGTTGTGCGTTTTGTCAGCGTATTCACACAGCAGGTCAACATGGTGTGCATACTCTAAGTCCACGAGATGACGTGAAGGGAGTAGGTCAATCACTGTGAAGTTCGGCGTACTGTAGGTTATATGTATAAGTACATCTATGACTATGTTGAATAGGAACGATGACACTGGACATCCTTGGTTGACACCACTATTTGTTTTCAATTGTTAAGATAACTTTCCATAAGGTCTTAGACAATTGCGTGAGTAGGAGTAGAGAGGCTTGATTAGCGCTATATGCGTGCTCGGTACTCTCTTGATAGTCGGACGCTGCGACAGCACCTCACGGTTGACTGAGTCAAATTGCACCTTCAGGTCAAGAAATAGGGCTAGTGACTGGTAGGTATGCCTGTGTTCCAGAACCTGTGGGATGGGGAAAACATGATCGATGAACCCTCTTCCAGCTCAGTCTGAAACTTGCCTAATTTCCTCAAGTTTACTATTCTCGAGCTCGAGTTAGGCGTCTGATAGCTGTGGACCCTAGGATCTTAGACACAATATTAGTCAAACTAATTCCCCTATAGTTGTCACAAGATTTCCCTTCTTAAAGACAAATTGTGAGTGAATTACAGTAGTCTGACGACACTACTACTGATACCTACACACTACCTAGTATCTCTGTCCCTTTCCTCATGGATTTCTTACCTCCATCCTTGAGAACTTCAGGTTGCAAACTGTTAGGTTGTGTTTGTTTGCACGGGTTCAGTATTGATGCAGCTTTCTGAACTTCAAGGGGTTAGTTGGTGGACTGATATCTACGTTTCATTAAGGTTGAGGCTGAATGTTGGGCAACCAAATCGTTTTTGAGGACTAGTTGAACTGTGTTTCGAAGTGTTCTGCTCAAAGGTTTGGCCACCTGTCCTGGGAGGTTGTCAGCGTTTCCTCTTTCCGGTGATTTTTTCACTCACCATCGTCTACTCTTTGCCGGTATCCTCCATAAGCCTAAATAGTTGCCATGTGTTACCGAAGTATAGTGCCTTCCCTATCCCCTACACTTCCGCCACACACTGGTGCAGTTGATAGACGCGAAGATTCTTGGTTCATTTAAGTTGATTTCGCTCTTCATAGACGTCAGAGCCAGATGCAATTAGCCTTCTCGCAACAGTCAGTACGGATGAGGTTACGGAAATCCGATGACGTTTGCCAATCTTTATGTGTTCGACATTCCATCATCATTGGTGAGTTTTTGCGTAAATTCTTGTTCACCTTAAAAGAATACTTTCTATTTGGGTGGTGCAAACCATGTACGAAGCTGACATGAACATATCGTTAGTTGACTAATTTCGACGTTTTATTTTACATTTTTTCACTTAGTGAAATGATATGGTTATACTGAGGTTTGAGAAGTATTTTTCAAGGTCTTTGATCTAGACCACCATTACACACATTTAGAGCTGTTTGAACAAAATCATCGATTGCAGTTGTAATTCGGAATGACAAAATAAACGACCCTACTTAATCCCATTGTTGATTATAGACAGCAAGAAGAGGTGACTGCATGCCTCTTTATCTGTAATGTATCTGTGTAGGGCTTTTAAAGCGTTAATAAGGTTTCTGCGGAAACTCCTCTATAATAGAGACGTAAATTAGAGTGGTCCTCAGATACTGATTTTTGCTAGGTAGTTTTACCCTATGTCCACTACAGGCTGTGCACTGTCACTTTTTCAACCGTTGATCATGCATGGCACCAGCGTACTTTCCGTCAGAACTCACTGTTCATCTACTTGACCCAAGTTATGTTTTACTGCTTAAGTGTCATCAAGAAGATGATGTCTTTTCAGCTAAAATTACCTTGCTGTCATTCGTACAATCCGACGATTTGCATAACGTTTGCTTGTTATCTCTATCATATCGGGTCTCTAAGTACTACGACAGTAAGTGCCTAGATTTTCAATATTGCAAAATCCAATCTGATGCAGTGTGACACATCAAAACCAGTATATTGCCAATGAATTTTTATTATTGAGTGAACGGTAGCACTCCCCTTTAGTATGATAGAGTAAACATTTGTATTTCATTTTATGTATGTGTTATTATTTGAGCAGTATTCGTGGGTCTATAAATACTGTCACTCTTGACTTACTTTTGTGATCCGTAGAAATTTGTATACGTAACGGGATCTGATTCGATATCTTTCACTCTTTACATAACTCACTGTTCCCGACCGATAACTGCTACCTTGACGTGGTGGTCGGGCTTGCATATCATAATGAGCTAACGAGCTATACTGGTGGAACACTTGTTCCCTCGAGGTCCCACCATACCCGAAAGGTATATTGGATAGTGGTTAGACGAAAAGCAGTTAGTGTTGTGGTGTAAATTACTACACTGTGACGGGGGTCTGAGGGTGAAGTCGTACTGCTGCTACCTGGATGGGGTGTGACAGCAGTAAGGTGTTCCCCTTGGATTACCAAAAGTGCCATGCTGATGCTGCCTTCTCAGTGGAAGGGGGAGTTGGAAAGGGTCGGCCCCAAAAACAAACACTCCACCATACTCAATAGTCTGCCGGGCTGACGGTGTTGGTTCATTTGTTGTTTCTTTTCGACCATCCGACCCCAAAACAACAACAGTTCAAAATAATCATACACAAAAGGCGGTGTGTGACAGTCCTCAAGCAGATTCCCGATGGGCTCTGTGGTCACACAAATCTCTTAAGAAGAAGTAGCCTTCCACGGTGTGGGCAGCCGGAAAGTGTCAACCGCCGTAACAACTCTATCAGCACTCAAGTTTCCTCAGACTGCTATTCACCTCCCCCATCACTACTTTCTGATCTTCCTTCACGTCTTTCAACTAACGATACTACATCATCTCCAATTTCTCTTAGCTCTGTAGCCTTCGATAACGATCTGAGTCCACAAAACAGCATACTTGGTCTCCTTAAACCACGCTCGAAATTATATACTGGAGCCTTCAATGTCCGCACCCTCCGTCAAATTGGTCAACAGGCTTCGTTGGCAAAGACTCTAGCAACTTCGGCCATGGATGTGTGCTGTGTTTGTGAGACACACTTACAGGACCCAAGTGTGGTTATTCACCTGACCTCTCCTGACCAATCTGGTGAATCCGCGAAATTCACCCTTCGAGTTTCTGGAGGTTCGATAGCTAGCTTTCGCGGTCATGCAGGTGTAGGCATAGCACTAAGCACTAGGGCAGAAAACCGACTACTAGACTGGATCCTAGTTGACAGTCGCCTCTGCGCTATATGGCTGAAGGGCACGGTAAGAACTAAAAGGAATAGGTAGACTCGCCGTTGTCTCTTTGTGATCTCTGCTTACGCACCCAGTGACTGTAGTTCGGATGAAGTGAAGGACGAGTTCTACCGTAAACTGTCTACCTCCTCTCGAAAGCCAAACGCTTAGGCATAGTGGTTGTTGCAGGTGACTTCAGTGCACAGGTGGGGAGACCGAGTGAGGCAGAAAGGCACTTAGGTGGCACTTTCGAAATCCCGGCTGGAACGTACAGATAACGGTGATCGCCCACTACAAGTATGCTCAGAAAACTGCCTATTTTTAGCTAGCGCAAATTTCAGATATAAAGAAAGACACTATCTGACGTGGCGTCCACCGAGCTCAACTCAGCGATGGACACAGATAGACTACACTACTATTAGTCATCGCTGGAGAGGATCGGTGTAAGACTGCCACTACTTCTGGAGTACGTGTTTTGATAGCGATCACGCGTTGGTCCGAGCACGTATATGCCTGTGTCTCAATGGGCATAAGAAAAAATTGGCAACAAAGCGACTACGAGTGCTGCTGGACAACGAAAACACCAAAGCCGTGTTCAGTGAGAAGTTGGCTAGGCAGTTATCGGAACAAAAGACTATCACTCATCCAGAAGAAGATTGGTGCCA